TCTTTCCTCTCTGATTGTTCAAACCCACATACGACTGACTATATGCGACGCCTCTCGTTTTGGGGGGGGGGAGTAGCAGTCTATACTCAAACCAATATAGGAGATTTGGTTGGCAACCCTTGGGGAACAGAAGCAGCTTATGGAGACAGACTTTGGATTTCTTTGGCAGAATCAAGACGCGATTGATATGATGGACACAATTTTATACAACGACTGAAGATTGAGGGCGCGCTCTGTTGGGCTGTCTGAGCTCGCATATGACTCTGCCCTGGGTATCTTAGGAAAATGCAGAACAGATTCTATGAAGTGATGAATTCATATAAAAGCCTTTCCAGATCGCCGCAATGACTTTTTGAGCACCAATGGCATCTGTGATTCTCGCACACAGCTTCCTCAGGCTTAAACATGTCTCCGGCACAAGTTAGCTGGAAAGATCCGGTGCTTCTGAGGGGCGTCCACCATCGTTAACGCAGATGTGGCCGTCCTCTCTGGACGTTTTCCGGCGGCTGTTCAGGTCCCTTCATCCGGTCGCTGATGATAGGATCTTTACGACCTGAGACCGGCTACGCATGATCTTAGCCACTAAAACGCTAGAACGCGAAGCTGGATTTTGGGATCCCATTGGTTCTGTTTCAAAAGAAAGGTCGCATCCCAATGCAAATATATAGGCAGCAGCATGTATATTGGAAAACAGCCCGAATATTCCGGTATAATACCTATAGGCCGGCGTCAAGTAATTTGAAGACACACAAACGGCATGACGTTGAGCCGTGGTGTCAGTTTCACAGAGCATAATTGACGGAGTGCGAGATTTTTGGCGTCAATCGATGTTTCAATGCAGTGATGCTTGGGTGTCACCTTGACACTCTCGCTACCGTCCATCTCACACGTATGGCTCGTATTGTTCCGATGCTTCTGCAATACTCGAAGTTAAGAGACTGTGCGTGGGTGTAAGCTGAGATTATCTTCAAATGGAGCTACAAACCGACAATGTGATGCTATTGGTGCCTTCGCCGTCGCGCACCATGCTGCGAAGTTGTTGTACGTCATTTTATCCAGCTTATTTAGTCCAACCTCAACACTTTTCCATTCCTGTCAAGTTTTGGACGACTAGCATTTCAGAATCCCTCGTTCGTCGGCCAATATGTGGCGACATTATCATAAAGGACTCCTCACCAATCTCCTCAAGAGTGCCGAAGTAGGCAGGCGTATGTTATGTGCTTTTCCGACGGCCCTCTTAGGTAAGTCATTACGTATTCAAAGTTCTATTGAAATTCTTCTTTGATTCATAAATAATATTAAAAGACACCTTAATTGTCAAGTTCTACTTTGGGGACAGCAATAAATTCTGCTGGGATCTTTGGCTTACGCACAAATATCTTATTGGCAAGGCTCATCGACTTACGCGGCGGCATGGTTTTCATCTCTCCGGTGGAAAGACCTTGTCCCAATCTCTTGGTGTTCTTGTCGATCTTTAGTGTCCTTCTGGTTTGTCTGGTGTTGATACTTCATGGATTCCCACGCCCCAGCTTGCAAGTGGCTTGGTTCTTTCTCATAGCTAGCTGTCACTGTAGCTGAGTCCAGCATTCCAGAAGGCATTATTACTATCCTTAGATCAGACGACAAACTCATCAATTTCTGAGGAACCCTTCCGGTGGGGCTCTATATCTTCCAAAGCAATCTTGCACGAATAAGCAATGGTTGGCGAAAGTTTTGAACGCAACCGTCAGTTGAAATACGGAGGCAGCACCCGCAGGCTCACAAATGCATTTTATCCGCAGCCATAATATCAGGGTTCTGAGGAGCCTTTATTCTACTCCCAGGGTCTCAACCAAGATATTCTAATCCAAAACCGCTCGCCCGTCGTAGATTTTCTGGCCGCAAGCAGCGGGACATGGACTTCAATTATTCCATTTACACGGCTGCTCGATGCCACGGCAGAACATCCGCAGAGAAATCTGTCTTGGAGAACCTGCCCAGGTGCTGAAGTAACGGTCCTGAATACAGGTCTCGGTTGAGGCGCAATCCAAATCCACACTAGCACCACTATCCTTGATAAAAGTTCAAACGGACAACATCACAAATGCTTTCTGACACTATGGCCTATTGTGGCAAGTTGAATAAAGCTTTGCTGCCATTTTCACAAAGGTAGGTCGCTAGAGACCATAATAGGCTCTCTCATCATGACCTACACAAACTCATTCAGGTGTTAATAGTGACCATCGTCCAATGGCTTCTGTCTCTTTCCATTCGTGGATTATCTCATCTACACCCGACATGGATGTTTCGCTCTGGTTTGAGTTCGCCGGATCAAAGGCTACCTCCGGAAATTCTACCTTTATGTGTGGCTTTCGGAGTCGAAAAAGCCACCCGCAGCCCTTACACGATGGGCAGTGAGCATAATTCGAGGTACCGCGTGAGAATGTTCGACCTCGTTCCGAATCCAGTACTGCTGTGATAATCAGAATTCGCATGCGACGTCAAGGTCTTTAAGTGATCGAAATAGGGAGTAGGTATGACTCCTTTCCACCCGGACGGGCAGCTCTCCGGGTACATTTTGACACAACCGAGCTTTCTCATAACCTACCTCCCGGCGACCATCAGAATACTCGTGTCTAGCAGCACTACCCAGGTCATCAGCTTGACAATCACAAACCAAGCAAGGTTGATCGAGTAATTGAGGGCCTCTCGGAAAACACATATAATGCGATCCTCGCTCCCAGATCCTGCCTTCTCTTCTTCTCTCTCCATCCCATCTTTACATCTGATCACATCTGCCCTCGGCAGTGACCCCTGTGCTCTACCCTTCATCATCACCTCTTTGTCCACCCTTCGGGTTTCAGGCAAGCAGGTGATGGATGCGAGGGGCACAATCAGATATAAAGCCCACCCCTCCTCCCCTGGCTTCCTTCATCCTTCGCACTCTCTCTCCTCCACCCTCTCTCTCTCCNCCCCTCCTCCCCTGGCTTCCTTCATCCTTCGCACTCTCTCTCCTCCACCCTCTCTCTCTCCTCCACCCCCTCTCTCTCCTTCACCCTCTCTCTCTCCTTCACCCTCTCTCTCTCCTTCACCCTCCCATCTCACACTCACTTTTACAGCAACACTCAAAGTCCCAAGGACATACTAACCTCACAGCCTAACCACTCAGCACCTCAGACCAACACTACTCAAAGTCCATAGGGCATACTAACCTCACAGCACTCACCGCTCAGCACCCCAGGCCAGCACTACTCAAAGTCCCAAGGACATACTAACCCAGCAGGACTAACCTCGCAGCCTCACCACTCAGCACCCACCACTCAGCACCCACCACTCAGCACCCTAGACCAGCACTACTCAAAGTCCAAAGGACACTCCCTTCCTTCTCTCTCCCTCCACGAGAACTGGGTTCTCCCCCCAGTTCTCTTCTTCCTGCTGAGGCCTTCCTCCCTCAGCTCCGCCATGGCCCCGGTGAGCCTCATCACTACTTCTTCACTCCCTTCCTCTCTCCCTCTACGAGAACTGGGTTCTCCCCCCAGTTCTCTACTCTCTGCTGTGGTCTTCCTCCCTCAGCTCCGCTATGGCCCCGGTGAGCCTCATCACTACTTCTTTGGGCAACGAAGCCGGACTCCAAACCTCCCCGTGGTGTTGCCTGGGAACTTCCTCTCCAGTGGAGAGGATGCCAGACTGGAGACGCAAATCATACTATCTTGGTCATGACATGTATGTCATCGTTTATTCCCATACTTATCTTCACCCTTTCCACACTTATCTACAACAACCATCTTGTTGTATACATCCACCATACTGCACGTTCAATCTCTCCACCCTTCTACGACACTACCTTGGAATATATTTACGACCTCCGATCTACTTGTATATACAAGCATATCAAATCCATACCGTCCGTCTCGTCATATCGATATCCGACCGACGCTCATCCTGCCCCATACCACGATCGCTTCCATCTCCAAACCATGAACTCGACACTTCGTCATTCAACCAAACATCCCTCCAGATCGCCAGGATGTCCCGACCTCCCCTCATTATCTCGCTCAACTCACATTCATCCTACCCTCCCCTTCCCCAATGCAGGGGAAGAGTCACTTGTGTAGGATGAAGAACGAATATGAAAGCTAATCTTGAGAGGACGAAAGACTATAGGTAGTGGTGATGTTCACGATTGTGGTGGTTTGGATGAAGGAAAGGGTGCACAACAGGGAAACCTCACCTGCTTTATACTTTATTTTGGAGAGGGTTGCGAACCACATTCGCGCACCACCCTGAGGCTGGCGCGAGGCAGCCCGCCTGAGACCACGTCGCCACGCCAAAACGCATCAGGCTCTGCACTGGGACGACTAACGTTACAAGGGGTGGGCAGAAATACATGGGCATCTACACGGGCGGAAATCAGGCTGGCACAAGTTCGCATTTCGTTCAAAGTCACATTCACAGCCATAGCTACAAGAGAAGCAACTTCCTGTCACAGGTCAATAATCAGGGGGATACGCAAGTGAGCCATAGAAACCTGAGGCCGGACCTCAGGCACAACTAAATACAACCCCTATTTCACTGCAATTCAAACCTCTGTAAAGTGCATGTCTTTGCGGCCTCCGTCTAGCACATGAAGGGAGGCGTCCTGGTTGCCTGCATCTGCATCCAGGGCGCTGCGCCTCCACGGCAGCCTGCCTCTACTCGACAGAGCCTGCCTCCAGCAGCCTCACTTTCGCCGGGCGGCGGGCGGAGCACGGCGGGAAGCGGCAGGCTTATGCACGGGATGAAAAGTCCCTTGCGCCGGTAGTTGGGGGAGGGCGCTTTTCAGCCTCAATCGACATGGCTTTCCGTGGTGAAGGCGTGACTTAAATATTCCACTTCGAGGGGGCGGGCGCAGCTGCACGGCCTGGCCCGACGAGGAAGCCGGACCCGCGGGATCGATGATCCGGGGACACCCGTAGAAAAGCCCCTCAGTGTCAATCGTACTCCGACACTGTGTCCAACACACTCTGGCCTCCAGCATCACCATGGACTCCCTCACAACCGCCGCCTCGGCCCTTTCCCCGGCCCAATGGTGCCAGATCTTCTTCGGCCTCTCCTCAGCCGCCGTGCTGGCCATCCAAGTGATACCCAAGGCAGCCCAGCATGCGATACTCGACTACGGCGCTCGCTCGCCGGCCGGCACCGATGACCAGACGAAGGGAGGCGGACCGCAGACCACGAACATGTTCAACGACCTCGTCAAAGCTTTCGCCTCCATCGGCCAGATCCCACACGCATGGTTCATGCACTTTTACGTCGCCTCGATCGTAGGCTCAGCCTTCTGGGCATTCGAGTATCTCCGAGACGGGCCCTTTTTCAGATTGATTGCGGCCAGGCAGGCGCAGTCGGCAAGTCCCGCCATGAGCCTCGAGCAGACCATCCTCATCTGGGCACTGATGGCGCTGCAAGGCTCACGTAGACTCTATGAGTGCTTCTTTGTGATGAAGCCCGGATCTTCCAAAATGTGGTTTGTCCATTGGTTGCTGGGCCTAGGTTTCTATCTCTGCATGAGTGTGTCGGTCTGGGTTGATGGATCAGGCGAGTCTCTTCGCCCGCATCATCACCGGCTTCTACTGACTTCCTCAGCCGCCCTCCGTGCTTCCCCAGAATGGAATCTGGAGGCCCTGTTATCGCTGCAGTCTGTCATCGGAGTCGCCATGTACCTATACGGCTGGACGATGCAAAATTGGTGCCATAAACACCTGGCCAGTCTCAAGAAGTATTCGCTTCCTGAGCGTGGTCTCTTCCAATATCTCGTCTGCCCTCATTACACCTGCGAGTGCCTCCTTTATCTTGGACTTGCCATTGCAGCCGCACCGAGGGGCCAATGGATCAATCGTACTCTTCTCAGCGCTTTCTGGTTCATCGTAGCAAACCTCGGCACAACCGCCGACGGAACCAAGGAGTGGTATGCGCAAAAGTTTGGTGCCGAAAAGGTGGCTAGCAAATGGAAAATGATTCCATTCCTCTTATAGACTTCTCCTAGACTCACTCGAGCCAATATCACTTCTTTCCAAACAGGCCAAACTTGGCCCCGAGCTTCGACACTTGCATGACATCTCGGTATGTGAGGCTTGTTCTGGTTGCGCGCACGTTTCGGCCGGTGGCATAATGATCCTTGGATCGCAGCAAGTCCCAGTTCACGATGGAATCGGCGGATAACTCGACGTCTTCGTCAGTGTCGGCAATGCCGTGGAGATAATCAGTGTAAAGGTTATCGGTGGTGATGAGTAGGCTCCTGGGTTCTTGAAGAATGCGCCACACAGGCTCCGGATCCAACGCACCGTCCTCTTTGCTTTGGTAGAGATTCAGACACAAGCTTGCTCCCAAGCTGACAGTGCATACTACTGGATGATAGGCGGGTCCATCCTGTAGACACTATGAGATTTGAGCCTTCACGCGTAAACCTACCATGTACTTAACTTATGAGGCATGATTCCGACTCCTGGGGGATACTCGTTTATCAGCACGTGGTTCGGCCGTTGATGAGGGCTTTCGGTGAAGAGGTTGGAATCAGGAACAGTGGCGCGAGGCAAGGAAAGAATTCGCGAGACGACGGGCTCTTGCAGCCATGGTGGCAAAGGAGCATCGATCAGCTTGTTCTGAACGAGATCAGACGGCCATGTTTGGAGACGTCGATGAGTCAGTTGTTTCCAGCGGGGTTTCGGGGCATCAGCTATCTGTTGGGCAAGGCAGCGGTGGTCAGCTATGAGGTTGGCGCGAAGGTCCATGTCAATGCTTCCGTACCTTTTGCAAGATTGCCTGCTCTTCCTCCTCGGATATGAAGTCCGCAATGTAAAACGCAGAAGGCGGAAGCTTTGTGATCCTGACGTCTTCAAGGGAAGTGGGTAGGTTTACAGCTCCGAGCTCCATTTTCCGGGCTTCACGTGGGGGCTGTGTGTTGTAGGGTGTTTGATAGTTGGCACGCGGTGAGTGTGATCTGGTGCGTCGTCCAACCTTATGTAGGGCGAATTCGAGTAAGGTGGGTGGTGAAGTCGGGAAGGTCAGATACAACGAAGCTTGTCGATACGAGGGGCAAGGTCGACGATGTAAGCTAGAAGCTCTAGAGGGTGGGTAGGCCGGCGACGGAAGCCAAGCGTCAAACGGTTCTGCATTGAGATGGGAGGATTCAAGCAATCAGACGACGGGATGGGAAAGGTTTGGTGGAGAAGCAAGGACGGCAGCTGGGAGCTGGAAGCGGAGGGGAGGAAGACGTGTTTGTGAAGGCCTCAGGTCGAGGAGGTTCGAGCGCGGGAGCTGCGCCAGTCGCTTGAACAAGTCGACAGATGGCAGTGTGGCGCTGGAACAAAGGGGTTGGACTCTGGAGAACGGACGCTGGTGACTGTTGCTGGAAGAATGGCGCTAGGCCGAAGCGGGAGACGGCAGGAGGATTAGTCACACGCGGGTGGGATTGCGATGGTGCGGTGGCCGTTCCCAGTTCCCAGAGCTCCGTTTTCGATGTGGTTCGTGATTCGCTGATTCAATTCAAGATGCGACGACGGCGAGGATGAGAACGACAGGGTGGGTACGATGGCGGAGGGGGAAGAGGAGCCTGCTGCGACGCTGGAGGAGGTTGGGAACGCGGGATTGGCCAAGGTGGATCCGAATAAACTGCAGACCTCGGTACGTACCTTGGATGTCGCAGCACCGCGTAGCAGCACCTACGGGTACGTACCGCGAGTGCTGCTGGTTTTCATTCAAGAAAGCGAATTTGCAGGCAAGCCGGGCAAAGTCTCGTTTGAATGGTCGGTCAGGCCTTGTTTTGAATTGAAGGGAAATTTCGCAGGCTGGCAGCCAGGGTCAGTCAGGATGAGGAGAGCTGCTGCGTGTTGCTGCTGCCTCTGGCGGTCATGGTCCAATGCAGCGTGGCAGCTTATTCGAGGTAAGGCACTTTTCAACTTGCATAATAGCATGCGCGGTGTGCAGCTGCAAACTGCAGACGGACGGGAGAGCGAGAGGGAGACGAGGCAGCAGGCTGGCAAGTGGCAGAACCTTCCTAGCAGTCGGGTGAGGTTGAGCACACACGACACGGCAGTCCCGTCTGCTATCTTGCCGTATCTCTCTGAAGCAAGGTGGCTGCCGGGACTGCTGCCAGGTTGTATCCTGTTTAGCTTGGCTAGTGCGGGCTGGGGGATACTTGACGATGCAGGGAAACTGTGCAGCATCTACAAGTACCTCGAATCGAGTACGTAGTTTCGTCCTCGTGTGCCCACCCAAGTCGGCCGTCAGGCTGCCACAAATTGTGCAGGCACACACACGCTCACACTGCCACTGCCACAGAACCGACACAACTGACTGCCATTGCGCTACGCTACCGCTTATCTGCCTGCCTTGGTACTGCTTGCTGGCCGCCTGCCTTGGTGCTCCTGCGCTGTCTGTTGTTGTTAGCACTGCTGCTGTGCTGTTGCTGCTGCTCCTCCTTTCCCAAGCCTCCCCCGTCGGGTCCAATCAAAGAGGTGGCGATCAGACTTTTTGACTCTGAAGACTCTCGCGGCCCCATTTCCACCTTCAGCCAAACCGATCGAAGCGTCAAGCGTCACCAAGACAGCCTTTTCCAGCATTTCCACCCACGCCCGCGTCCATCGAACCACACGCATCATTACTCCGGCCAGGCGCTTCCTTTGTTTTTTATTTCCTTTATCGTCTTCGTGATCCGGTTTTACGACACTTCCGACCCCGACACCGCACCGCTGCCCCGTCAGTCGCCAACACACCGCGCCCCCGTGACTGACCTGGCCACTTTCTCTTAGGGGCGTTTCTCTTTGGCGACCGAGAGACTGCTCCGCTCCGTCCACCCGACCGCGATTTCAATCAGTCAACACAACACCAATTCGCCCACGCCCTCACTTTTCTCTCACTCGTGGCCGACCTTTGGCCAGGATGGTGCTGGCCAGTTTTTCGACCTTCAGATAAATGATATGGATGCGCAGAATGCTGCCGGGTCCGACAAGCCGAAGCCCGTCGCTGCTGCGGAGAAGCGACTGGGCAATCACCAGCCTGACGAGTCCAAGGAGTCCACCAACAACAAACCAAAGAGCGCCGACGAGTCCATCAAATCTCCGCCTGTCCTTCCAAAGGACGTCAAGCCCAGCGTAATCGTATCTCGCGCGCCTCCTGCTGCCGACGACGCTCCCGCCGAGAAAGACTCGGATGCCGAAACCATCGTCTTACCCGGTAAAGATGGCTACTCGCCCTCCAAGGCGAGAAAGGTAAAGCACGAGGATCGCAGCGACGGAGAGCCCCAGGTCCCCCGCAAGATTCGTGATGCCAGTGCCGCCAGGGACGCCGACAAAGACAAACCCATCAACCCTCCCCGTTTGCTGTCTGAAGGGGCATCTTCGTTGGGCTTGAAGAAGAAACGCCTCCATGACCAATCCGCCCGAAGCAAGGATGGCTCCAGCGGGCTCAGCTCGGCTCCTGCTTCTCCCCCGAGACGTCGATCTGGTAATCATTCCGACTCCGACACGGGTGCTGACCGTAGGAAATCTCCCAAGCTGTCCATGAAAGACCGAGCCAAATCCACCGATCGGACACTCACTCACAAACGCAAAGCTCCAAAGGCAGACTCGGAGGACGAGGCCGAGAATCGGAAGGCTCGACGACAACGTATTTCTGACGCCGGAGCTGATTCTCGACCAATCCGAGCCCCCAGGGAACACAAGATGTCCTCTTCCAAGAGAGAAACCGATGGCCACTCAGGATCTCGTACCAGATCCGTATCTCCCCACAACCCACGTGCCCACCGACGGAGCATTTCGACGCAGCTTCCTGCAAATTCGTCAAATGGCCTGAGCTACAAGAAGAAGCGTTTGCCTCCCCCGCTCCAGTCCACCGATTATCACTCGGATGAGTCTTCAGCGAGCGGCAGCCCTCACCCCCGGAGTTCCAAGCTACGGAATCTGTCGACGCCCGCCACTGCCGAGTCAAACATGTCACCTGCCAAAATTGCGCCACACAAGAAACATCTCGATGCTCACGGCCAAACGTTCCTCGCTAGAGCTTGTGCCAGAGGCGAGTACGACATTGCAAAGCAACGACTTGGTGAGCGACCTGAGGACCTCAACGTTGCCGATTATGCGGGAAACACGCCACTTCAAATCGCCGCAATTAATGGGTACGAGGATATTGTGAAGCTTCTCATCGACGCTGGATGCAATCTGGATTGTGTAAATTATGACAAGGACACACCATTGCTCGACGCTGTTGATAACGGCCACCTCGGAGTCGTGAAGCTTTTACTGAACGCGGGTGTCAATCCGCGGAAGGCCAACGTGAGCGGCGAGGAACCTCTCGACAGAGTCAGCGACGACCTGGACAATGCTGCCGAGTTTCGTGCCGCACTCATTGAGGCAAAGTCTAGACAAGGCGAACGACGACGAACATCTGAGGACCATCATTCTGTCGACCACCAGGATACTCGGTCATCACTCGGCCCCGATAGCCCGCGACGGTCACCTGCGCCTTCTTCATCTCACGCCAGCGGTCGGCGGGCCGGTACTGTGAGGGCCACCAAAACCAGCAACTACTTATTGTACATGTCCCTCGATGACAAGACACTTCGGCAGGCAGCCGCTAAGGGCGACGAGGAGACCGTTACAAGAATCCTCCAGGTAAAGGATGGTTGCGATGATTCCGAAGCGATGGTAGCGGCTGCCAGGGGTGGGCACGAAGTAGTTATTCAGCTACTTTTGGCATTGGGTGGCGCAAACCCAGACCCTGCACCGGTGCAAAGTACCAATATGCCGTCAGAGTTCGCGACACCTATGCTAGCCGCGATAGGCCAGGAGAACATCAAGGTGGTTAGGTTGCTCTTGGACCAGGCAAACTTTGATCCCACACGTCGATTCAAGGGAGAAACCTACTACGAGATCGCGCGACGCCGACAAGGCACAAATTGGAAAGACGAGGAGCACATGCTCAAGGAAGCTTACGATGCGTACAGGAAGTCGCATCGTGATATTTCCAAGACCAAGTCTCCGAACAGACGGGAGCGTGAGAGAGAACGGGAGCGGGAGCGTGAGCGTGACCGAGACCCAGACCGGGAAACCAAGCGCCAGGGCCGCAATGAACTCAAAGACGAAGCCCGAGCGCACAAGCGCAACCTTTCTAGCCCTTCACGCGACCCGGAGAGTCGGAAGAAAATCTCAGCGAATCGTAACGTCACCAGTCCAAAGGAAAAGCGTCGATCTGATTCATTCCACGACGACCAGACATCACCCAAGCGCGGTCCTGGACGGCCTAGAAAAGAAGACCGTGTTCCGACCATTGCAGTTTCTGACAGAGAAGCATCACCTGCGCTGTCACAAAAGCAATCCGCCAAAGCTGCGAAGCGCGCCGAGTCTGACGTTGCTGCCATGTCGTCTGAAGGGGAGGCTGTCAAGCCGCGAAGGAAACTCATTTCCAAGGGCGAACTCCGCGGCGAAAGGGAAAAGAACCGCCGCGCTAGCATGGTTTCGACCACCTCTTCTCTGAAGGACCCCTCAAGCCCACGCGATCCGAAACACGACGACCATCCCGAGAAGCCGAAGGGCGAACCCTTATCCGAGAAGTACCACGATCGTACAAAGGCCCTCAAGAGGGACGAGTCTAGGGATCGACTCTCTGTTTCTGGTGATCATTCTGCTAAACGGCACCGATCAAGCGTTACGCCGCCGCACTCGAGCACTGGGGAGAAGGAGGATGGTGAGGTGCCAACGAAGAGGCGGCGGCTCGATGTGGATGGCAAGGAACGCCGGCCGAAATCGACAGCATCGCCAGACGACCCGCATAGGCTATCGCGTGAAGCACCTCGATCGAAATCGAATCTCAGGGACCACGATGATAGCGACCGCAGGCCCCTCAAGAGCAAGTCAGATTCTGACGGGCACAGGAGGGAATCCGGAAAGTCCAGCAACAGTGATAAGTCGAGCATACACGTTAAGTCTGAGGATGTCGATATCGAAATGCCAGACGCATCAGATGTTAAGGATGTTGAGGAGCCGGAAATTCGTGTGAAGAAGGAACGTGGAGATGACGAC